AGCTGCATTTCCAGGACAGTAAGCAGGGGTCCCTTCTCACAGTCTTACAGAGATAATCACATTTAATTAGAACTGAACATAGCCAGAAGTAGCCACCTGTGGAAAGTACTGTAGTGCCACAGTCTCATGTAACTGCAATAGAGGATCCACTGGAATGAGAGAGGGCGAGTGCCCTCTTCTGGTACAGAAACAAGTCTTCAACAAAATTACATTTTATAGACAAAATTGTGGGATATGTTTGTACTTGGCCACTGAAGGGATTCTGACAGGTGAAACACCCTGCACAACAGCTCTGAAAATCTGCTAAACTTTCGAGCACTGAATTTAGAGAAAGGAAACACCTAGCATGTTATCCAGTTCTGCAAGTAAAGGACTGAGTTGCCTGATTGAGGATACATCTCACTGTTGTTCGTTTTGCAATAGCACCCAGTGGCCCCAACAGGCTCAGTACCCCACTGTACTAGTTGCCTTGCAAACATGGAAAAGACTCGCTCTATTCTAAGATGACAACACACAAAAACATGGGGGGACAATAGAGCATCTCAAACAAAAAGGTGCAGTTTAATTTTTTTTTAACAAGGGGAAAAAATAGGTTTTCCCTCTCCCCCAACTCACCTGAGAACTGTTGAACTCTTAGCTTAAACTTTCCAACAAATTTCAGCAAGAAGCAAACACAGACCAGGGAAAATTTCAGCCAGAACAGTTAACATTTAGCAAAGTTATAAGTAACTGAAAACAAAGTCGTATAATGGGTAGTATCCTGCAGCCTGCATTAGAGTGCTGCTTCCATGTCTTCCTATAAAAAAAATCCAGAGACCTCCTATTGCCAGTCAGCCTAGCATCACTAGCTGGCTATCACCCGAGCTATAGGGAAATGAGAAATTGTTAGAGGGAATGCATTGGTACCAAGAATAACAGATTTATTAATCTAAGAAAAGTATTTAAGAAAACAGGAGAAGTGGGACACCTGGTCACTGAGAGCACATAATTTAAAATAACCTTGAGCACTGTCCTACTCTGCCCGTTGTTTGATATTAATTACATGCAAAGAGAAAGCAAACTGCTTCCAGGTTCTTGAGTCAACTCAGTGCGTGGGTTTGCAAGTGGCCAAAAGACTTATCCCAAGGGCCACCGACTAGATCAAAGATTCCCCAAATGCACATATGCTACTGGTAATGGTGTACTTGCATGAAGAGCTTAGTTACATGGTGTGGATTCCCTTGTTCCAAAATCATGCATTGATTCCTATAGCAAGGCTAAAAGGGGCCATTCTGATCATCAAAGTTTGGCCTCCTGCATAATACTGGCTTGGAAGTTCTTAAGGATGGTTATTGCCTTCACTATTAGAAACTACACCTTATTTCTAGGCTGAATCTGTCTAGTTTTATTTTCCAGCTATTACATCTTTTTACACCTTTGTCATGTGGACAAAGGAGCCCTCTACTATTACAAGTTACTCCCTATGTAAATACTTATAGGCTGATGAAATCACCCCAGAACCTTCCTTGTTACATAAATAAATTTAACTTTTCAATCTCAAAGTAAAACAGGGTCACCAACATGAAATCATTCTCATAGCTGTCTTCTGAACTCTCCCCTTTGCCAACATCCTTCTTAAAGTGTTTACACTGGAGTCTGACACATTATTCCAGGGATGCTCTCACTAAAGCCATATACAATGGAATAATACTGCTCTACTTCTCA